GCAAAGCACTTGTTTCACAATTTCTATATTAGCATATGGCTGTAGAATATATTAATTGCTTGATTAACAGACTCATTCAGCCACTTTCAATGTAGTACAATAATAATGAAGCATTAGAATAGGGCTCAAATGCAACATGAATAGCTGATATTCATAATTTTGAGAATAGTGAATTAATCTTTACCTCTGAAACTTTTTATAATACTTTGGAAATACAGTTTTACAAGGGTGTAACTCGACTGAAATGAGGAGGATTACACTGTCTTATTAATTTAAATATTAACGTCATGAGCGTAGAAGTGTTTGCCAGCAACTCTTAGCAAAAGTATTTTTGAATGCAGTAAAATGGTGAGTTGGGCCCAGATTCTCAAAGGTGTGTAAATCTTGGATTTAAGTATTTAAGTCCCAGTTTTAGGCTCTGCTGTGATCCTCAAGACTCCTATTTGGCTGCCACCTAACCTTTGCAAACCTAAACTCCCCCTTGGCACCTAAATTTCCTCTGTAAAATTTCCTTAGCTATGTTTCTGCTTCTGGGCAGGATCACTGCTTTCTCACTAGAGCCATTTCGGTGTCTATCTTCTTCCTAAACCCCAGTGTGATCCCTGAACTGGGGGAATATAGACACTCCTCCACCTATCACACCTGCAGGAGCCAAATACAACAGGTTGCCTCTAAGCATGCTTGCCAGATTGAGTCCTATTCAAAGTGGTGGTGGTGCCTACTTATAATTTTTAGCCCAGTGGCTAGAGTGCCCACCCAGCATGTGGGAGACACCTGTTCAATTTTCCTCTCTGTCTGAGGGAAAGGAAAGATTTGAAAAGGGGTCTCCCATCTCTCGGCAATTTCTCTAACCGCTGAGCTATGGGATATTCTGATATGGGTTTTCCTCAGTCTATCCTGCTGAAGCTGTTCTACTGTGTATAATACTTACTTAAATAGTCACTTGGCCTGAACAAGAGTGACTATAGTCTGGTGATTAGGACACCCACATAGGAGGGGGAAGACCAGTGGTCCGGTTCAGTCCCCCTACTCCAGTCACTATTTAATTAGTTACCATGATGGAAGAGCTGCAACAGGAGAGAGTGAGAGTATCCCCAGATCAGACTATCCCAAACTCAGTGGTCAGAGCACTCTCCTGAGATGTGTTGGAGAAGAAGTGGGACCACTTGACACTGAGGATAGAGTGGAGGTTAAGGATAATCTAGGCATGGCCCAATATCTAAACAAATACTTTGCCTCAGTCTTTAACGAGGCTAATGAGGAGCTTAGGGATAATGGTAGGATGACAAATGGGAATGAGGATATGGAGGTAGATATTACCACAACCATGGTAGAAGCCAAACTCGAACAGCTTAATGGCACTAAATCAGGAGGCCTGGATAATCTTCATCCAAGAATATTAAAGGAACTGGCACATGAAATTGCAAGCCCATTGATTAAAAATTCTTGCTAATCTGTAAACTCAGGGGTTGTACCGTATGACTGGAGAATTGCTAACATAGTTCCTATTTTTAGGAAAAGTAAAAGAAAGTGATCTGGGTAACTACAGTCCTGTCAGTTTGACATCTGTAGTATGCAAGGTCTTGGAAAAAATTTTGAAGGAGAAAGTAGTTAAGGACATTGAGGTCAATGGTAATTGGGACAAAATACAACATGGCTTTACAAAAGGTAGATCGTGTCAAACCAACCTGATCGCCTTCTTTGAGAAAGTAACAGATTTTTTTAGACAAAGGGAACGCAGTAGATCTAATTTACCTCGATTTCAGTAAGACATTTGATACAGTTCCACATGGAGAATAATTAGCTAAATTGAAAAAGATGGGGGTCAATATGAAAATTGAAAGGTGGATAAGGAACTGGTTAAAGGGGAGACTACAGCGGGTCACACTGAAAGGTGAACTGGCAGACTGGAAGGAGGTTACTAGTGGAGTTCCTCAGGGATCGGTTTTGGGACCAATCTTATTTAATCTTTTTATTACTGACCTTGGCACAAAAAGCTGGAATGTGCTAATAAAGTTTGCGGATGACACAAAGCTGGGAGGTATTGCCAATACAGAGAAGGACCGGGATATCATACAGGAAGATCTGGATGACCTTGTAAACTGGAGTAATAGTAATAGGATGAAATTTAATAGTGAAAAGTGCAAGGTCATGCATTTAGGGATTAATAACAAGAATTTCTGTTATAAACTGGGGACGCATTACTTGGAAGTAACAGAGGAGGAGAAGGACCTCGGAGTAATAGTCAATCACAGGATCATCAAAAAAGCTAATGCGGTCTTGGGATGCATCAAGCGAGGTATTTCCAGTAGAGATAAGGAGGTGTTAGTACCGTTATACAAGGCACTGGTGAGACCTCATCTGGAATATTGTGTGCAGTTCTGGTATCCCACGTTTAAGAAGGATGAATTCAAACTGGAACAGGGACAGAGAAGGGCTACTAGGATGATCTGAGGAATGGAAAACCTGTCTTATGACAGGAGACTCAATGAGCTTGGCTTGTTTAGCCTAACTAAAAGAAGGCTGAGAGGAGATATGATTGCTATCTATAAATATATCAGAGGGATAAATACCATGGAGGGAGAGGAATTATTTAAGCTCAGTACCAATGTGGACACAAGAACAAATGGATATAAACTGGCCATCAGGAAGTTTAGACTTGAAATTAGACGAAGGTTTCTAACCATCAGAGGAGTGAAGTTCTGGAACAGCCTTCCAAAGGAAGCAGTGGGGGCAAAAGACATATCTGGCTTCAAGACAAAGCTTGATAAGTTTATGGAGGAGATGATATGATGGGATAGCCTAATTTTGGCAATTAATTGATCTTCGATTATTAGCAGTAGATATGCCCAATGGCCTGTGATGGGATGTTAGATGGAGTGGGACCTGAGTTACTACAGAGAATTCTTTCCTGGGTGTCTGGCTGGTGAGTCTTGCCCACATGCTCAGGGTTTAGCTGATTGCCATATTTGGGGTCGGGAAGGAATTTTCCCCAGGGCAGATTGGCAGAGGCCCTGAGGGTTTTTCGCCTTCCTCTGCAGCGTGGGGCACAGGACACTTGCTGGAGGATTCTCTGCATCTTGAAGTCTTTAAACCACGATTTGAGGACTTCAATAGCTCAGACATAGGTGGGAGGTTTATCACAGGACTGGGTGGGTGAGATTCTGTGGCCTGCGTTGTGCAGGAGGTCAGACTAGACTTTCATAATGGTCCCTTCTGACCTTAAAGTCTATGTTTCTATGAAATCCTTTCTTCCCCTCAGGCAGAGGGGGGGATTGAACATGTGTCTTCCACATCCTGGATGAATGCTCTGATCATGGGGATAAAAGTTGCTAGTTGTGCACCTCCTGCTCTAGCTGTTATGTGTGGAGTGAGGTAAGTGCCTTATTCTCACAGGAAGCTACTTAGGCACCTAAGCCATCTGACTCCAGGAAAGGAGTTCCCAGCTCTGGGTCACAAGCAGAGATAGGCAGCTCCCTGCAGCCTCGACTTAGGCTCCCAACTCCATGATAGGGGAGGGGCTTAGCACACACCCCTCTCACCAGCATCTCCCATAGGGTAGCTTAAGTGACTCCCCACCTAGCATTCTGTTCTCTTTATTATTTGTTACTCCCCCAATTGTTGTCATTTACAAACTTTAACAGTGATGATTTTATGTTTTCTTCCAGGTCCTTGATAAAAATGTTAAATTAACCCAACAAAAAGTTGTGTGCTACTAAATAAAATACCTAACAGAAGCGTAAGTATATTATGTCAACACTATTACCTTTATCAACCAAACCTCTACTTTCATAAAAAAAAAAAAAGTCAAGTTAGTTTGATGGGATCTATTTCCCATAAACTCATGTTGATTTACATTACATTATCCTCCTTTGATTCTTTATTAACTGAGTCTCATATCTGCTGCTTTATTATCTGAGATCAATGTCAGGCTGACAGGCCTATAATCACCTGGGTCATCTCATTTACCTTTTTTTGAAAATGAACAAAATATTGGCTTTCTTCCAGTCTTCAGGAACCTCTTATTGAAAATCAACATTAATGGTCTAGCAAACTCTTCAGACGGCTCTTTTAAATCTCTTGAATGCTAGTTATCTGGACCTGCTGCTTCAATAATGTCTGATTTTAGTAGTTTCTGTTTAACATCCTCCAGAGATACTAGCAGAATGGAAAGAGCATCATCATCACCATATGATGAGACTGTATCGTCTGTTTTTTTTCCCCAAATACAGAAATATTTATTGAACATTTCTGCTTTGTGGATCCCAGTGTTGTTTCAGTGATTTTTCTAGTCACTTAAAAGTTAGGTATTATGATGCTCAGCATCTTCATAATAATTGTAACAAAGTGGTCCCCTTTAAGTGTGAACAGGCACTATGGCCAGTAAAACTTTGACCAGGTGATTTGGAACACATGCGGGGATAAAGTGGTCTCAGGCTGACTGTTAGTGTCTGGGTGTTTACAGGGGACTTTTTCTTTAATGGACCAGAACCAGGCGCCTTGTAGTGTCAAGTGGGACAAGGCTCCTCTCTCTCCCAATCAACTAGGTTGAGTCCTGGAAAAGAGGATGTCTGATTACCAATCTCTTCCCTCATAATATGAGTGAGACCTCTGTCACACTTTGGGGTGCAATCCATATTAGTGAGTGTCACCTCTTACCCTGAGTTCCTCACAATAGTTTGCGACTGTAGCTCTCTGCCTGGGAGGCTCTCAGTCAGCAACAAGAATGCAGGTCACATCCTGAGTGTCTGTGTGCTATGTAGCAAGCCCTGGTTCAGCAGCTCTGACCCAAGCACCCTGTCTGCAGCCCCACAGCCCCACTCTGACTTCCACCATCCTTGGTTACAACCAGCAAGGTGATCCCAACACACTTCCATCCCAGAGTTTTCCCAAACTATGTGCTCTGAAGTGTCCAGCCCTGTCCTGGACCACTCAGAGAAATAATACAGATCATTTGCTCCTCTAAAGACACAATGTACACATTACCACTTTATCGTGAGTTTAGTAATGCTTTAATTCAAACACAACACAGTTTAAATTAAAAGTAAACAGTTTCTTAACAAAAGAAAACAAAGTTTTAAATGTGACTGAAATGATTACAAACAAAAAATAGTGGAAAAACACTTTCTAGTGATTAAAATCTTAACCTAGCAAGATACAGAATTTGTCCAAGATGGCTTTTCTCACCCACAGTCCTTCCAGAAAAATGACTGAATGCCCCCCCTCCCTGGGCCCTGGATCTCCTCCAGAAGGCCACAATGCTGGTTCTTTTGTTGTTTTAGGTGAAAGAGATAACTTGGGGTTTTCTGCCCCTTTCTTTCATAGTTCAGTGAACCTTTTTCAAATAGATTCTTCTGGAGTTTACCCCACAGCGTAAAGTTTATTCAAACTGAGGAAGGAGACATGGAATCTGGTGGTGAAGGAAGCTCCATGCTGTTGGTGTTGTCCCCTGCTGGGGTTTGCTATAATGCAAATTGTTCTCCCCCTGCTGTCCTGATGGTCCCATTTACTGCTTCTATATAAATTGAGGTAAGCCCACATTCCTTTGTTAAGGACACACTTATTTAACACTTTTACTTAGACAGTGCCATCTGGTCCTGAACATGTTCTAGTAACATCATTGTAACACTCTCCACTTCGAAGTAGCACCCTGGAACTCCATATTCACCATGGTGATATGATTATGATATGTTTTGTACAAAGTATATCTTGTGAGGTATCATTTTAAAAGTCTTGCCCTGTTGAACATTAATATGCTGTTGGATTTTATGTACTATCGTTGTACGTGATGTTAATAAGTATTGCTATTTGTGTTACTGAAATACGTTGTGAGGTTGGGAACAGCCACAACCAACCTTTCAGTTACAACAAAGGAGTAGCCATCAATAGCCAGATGTTCATTAATGGCTCATGAACAACCATCAAGAAAAGAAACCAAACTATCCCAGAGACTCCCAAGAGAAGACACATATGCAATGAAGACTGCTTGACCAACAGGGGCTACCTGATCCTCCCTTTGCAGCAAGGATCTTTCCAGCAAGCTGGAAGAAAGTATAAAAGAGGGGAAGTGACATCATCACTTGGCTCCCCCCATCTCAACACCTGGAAAAACATCTGGAAGACAAAGACTTTGAACTGGGGAAGGGTGGTCCCAGGTTGGTAGGTAGTCCCAGCCTGTGTATTGAGGAACTGTAACCTGCCTGTGCCATCTGTCAGGGTGAAACATTGTTTGATTCAACTCTTGCTTAGACTAAAAGTTTAGGATTTAAATGTGTGTTTACTTTTCATTTTCTTAAGGTAACTATCTCTGACCTTTATGCCAACCACTTATACTCACTTAAAATCTATCTTTCTGTAGTTAATAAATCTGTTTTATATTTTACCTAAAACAGTGTGTTTTGGTTGAATTGCTTGGGAAATCTCAGCTCAGGTTAATAAGGGCTGTTGCATGTCCACTACTTTGTTGTTTGAGTAGCGAACTAGGTATTGAACTTAGACTGACCAGGCTTCTGACCATTTCAAGCTGGTACAGTTCTGGGGTGCAAGGCTGGGGAGCTGAGGGCAATTGGCAGGAGCGTCTCTATTGATGGTTCATGAGTGACTGGGAAATCATTCATGTAAGTCAGTTGGGTGTGTCCCTGCCTGTGGATGTCTGTAAGTGCAGTGGCTGTCAGAGGCTTGTAACTTGGCATTAGCATCACAGCGTGAAGGCTACCCCAGGCTGGTGGGTTTTGGAGGGCTCAGTGGTCCCACAGTCCAAGTTGCACCCCGGAGACCCCATCACAATCATACAGGGGGAATGCATAACTTGACATATAATGTTGCTACATACATATCACCATGATATTGTTGACCTGCGAGTTATTAGTTTTTAAAATGATACCTCACAAGGCATATTTTGTACAAGATTATCACAGTAGTCTGAATACTTGGATGCTTTGGGCCACAACTTCGTCCTCAGGGAAGGAGGCCTGCCTGCTGACGTGTCTCATTCCACAGAGAAATAAAGAGTGAGAAGGAGTGGCCAGCTGAGAAAAAATCAGATAAGTGGACACCATGATTAATGGTCAAACAATAGAGGCAGTAGAAGAATTCAGTTATCTGGAATCAGACATATCCAACCACAAAGGCTGTTCCAAAGACATTGGAAGAAGAGTAGGAATGGCTTGCTCAGCTATGGTCTCCTTTATGAGAACAATAGCACCTGAAAATGTATGAAGATTCAATTGGTGAAAAGCTTTATTTTGGATTAAGTGATTTATGGGTGTGAATCATGAGAAATTAACGCTTTGGACAAAAAAAAAGAAGCCTTTGAGACGTGGTGGTGGCAAAGACTCTTGCGCATCTCCTGTATGGAAAAGAAGATGAATATGTTAGAAATATTATTGGAAAGAAGCACACCCTAATGTCAGAAATCAACAGGTGCAAACTAGTGTACTTTGGTCACATTAGGCATAAAGATGGAATATCCTTGAAAACGTTATTATGGAAGGAATAGTGGCAGGTGGCAGATCAGATTAGCAGGGGATGACCAGCAAGGAGATGAATAGAGGGCAGTTCACCAGGTGGTCAGCTGCAGAGTGCTCTAAGATAGCAATGGATAGGGAAGGCTTCCAAAAGTCCTGCTATGATGGCACCAATATTCAGAGATGAATAAATGTATTTGACTTGCTTAATCATTCGTATTACTTGTGTTGAGGCCCTGTGGCTGGATCAGCTCCTTTTTGGTATTCTTGTTAAAATATTTATCTGCAAGTTTAACACATACCTCTCCTTGCCCAAGTGAAAGATAATTTCCTCAACTTCTAGCACTTTACATTTGTGCCTGAAGTTGTTGATAGTGAATAATGTCTCTCATGAAGTATTTATAAATCCCTGTGGAAGTGGATCCTACTGGAATGAAGGGTACTACTTTGTTGCTGAGGAAAATAATTTTACTCTTTTATCCAAATGGAATCCAGAAATACCAATTAATTAAGACAATATGCTATATAATTAACATACCTTTACTCTTAGTTACTTAATATCTCTTAATTGGAAGCACAACTAGTCCATATAATATGATCCTTTTATTATAAAAAAATGTAAATGTTTAAATTGTACCCTTCCACAGACCAAGATCTGTAACATAGGCTGTTCATAGTTGGGAAAATGCAAGGTGGTCAAAAAAACATGAGTTTATAATTTTGAAAGATTATCTTATTGTATTTATAAGTGTACTCTCTATGCCATTATTTAAATCATTGATGAAGATATTGAACAGAACCAGACCCAGAACCGATCCCTGTGGGACCCCACTCATTATGCCCTTCCAGCATGACTGTGAACCACTGATAACTACTCTCTGGGAACAGTTTTCCAACCAGTTTTGCACCCACTTACAGTAGCTCCCTCTAGGTTGCATTTCCCTAGTTTGTTTATGAGAAGGTCATGCGAAACAGTATCAAAAGCTTTCCTAAAGTCAAGACACACCACATCTACCACTTCTCTGCCCCCCCCATCCCATCCACGAGGCTTGTAACCCTGTCAAAGAGAGCAATCAGGTTGGTTTGACATGATTTGTTCTTGACAAATCCATGCTGTTACTTATCACCTTATTATCTTCTAGATGTTTGCAAATTGATTGCTTAATTATTTGCTCCATTATCTTTCCGGGGACAGAAATTAAGCTGACTGGGCTGTAATTACCCAGGTTGTCCTTATTTCCCTTTCTATAGATTGGCACAATATTTGCCCTTTTCCAGTTTTCTGGAATCTCTCCTGTCTTCCATGACTTTTCAAAGATAATCGCTAATCGCTCATATCTCCTCAGTCCGCTCCTTGAGTATTCTAGGATGCATTTCATCAGGCCCTGGTAACTTGAAGACATCTAACTTTGTCTAAGTAATTTTTAACTTGTTCTTTCCCTATTTTAGCCTCTGATCCTACCTCATTTTCACTTTCATTCACTATGTTAGATGTCTAATCGCCACCAACCTTCTTGGTGAAAACCGAAACAAAGAAGTCATTAAGCACCTCTGCCATTTCCACATTTTTGGTTATTATTTTTCCCCCTCACTCGTTGAGTAACAGGCCTACCCTGTCCTTGATCTTCCTTTTTCTTCTAACATATTTGTAGAATGTTTTCTTGTTATTCTTTATGACTCCAGCTAGTTTGATCTCGTTTTGTGCCTTGGCCTTTCTAATTTTGTCCCTACATTCTTGTGTTATTTGTTTATATTCATCCTTTGTAATTTAACCTAGTTTCTACCTTTTGTAGGACTCTTTTTTTTAAGATCATTGAAGATCTCCTGGTTCCGCCAGCGTGGTCTCTTGCCATACTTCCTATCTTTCCTATGCAGTGGGATCGTTTGCTCTTGTGCCCTTAATAATGTCTCTCTGAAAAACTGCCAACTGTTTTCAATTGTTTTTCCCCTTAGACTTGCTTCCCATGGGATCCTGCCTACGAACTCCCTGAGTTTGCTAAAGTCTGCTTTCTTGAAACCCATTGCCTTCATTTTGCTGTTCTCCCTCCTACCATTCCTTAGAATCATGAACTCTACCATTTCATGATCACTTTCACCCAAGCTACTTTCCACTTTCAAATTCTCAACCAGTTCCTCCCTATTTGTCAAAATCAAATCTAGAGCAACCTCTCCCCTAATAGCTTTCTCCACCTCTGAAATAAAAAAATTGTCTCCAATACATTCCAAGAGCTTGTTGGATAATCTGTGCCCTGCTGTGTTATTTTCCCAACAGATGTCTATGTAGTTGAAGTTCCCCATCACCACCAAGTCCTGTGCTTTGGATGATTTTGTTAGTTGTTTAAAAACAGCCTCATTCACCTCTTCTTCCTGGTTAGGTGGTCTGTAGTAGACCCCTACCATGACATTACCCTTGTTTTTTTACCCCTTTTATCCTTACCCAGAGACTTTCAACAAGTCTGTCTCCTATTTCCATCTCAACCTCAGTTCAAGTGTCTATATTTTTAATATATAAGGCAACACCACTTCCATTTTTCCCCGCCTGTCCTTTCTGAGCAAGCTGTACCTTTCTATACCAATATTCCAGTCATGAGTATTATCCCACCAAGTCTCTGTGATGCCAACTATGACATTGTGTTTGTTGTGTTTATTTACTAGCATTTTGAGTTCTTCCTGCTTATTCCCCATACTTCTCACATTAGTATACAGACATCTAAGACACTGATTTGATCCCCACCCCCACCCCTGTTAGGTCTTCTCTCTCCCTTATCCCTGCTGCTCATAAATGCTCCCCCAGTCCATGCTCCCTGCCAAATTCTGACCCTTCTCCCAGGTCTCCATGTTTTTGACTTACCTGTGGGCTTTTGTCACCTGCCCCCTTCAAACCTAGTTTAAAGCCTGCCTCACTAGGTTAGCCAGTCTGTGTCCAAATATGCTCTTCCACTGCCTCCATGGGTGGCCCCCATCTCTGCTTAGCAGTCCCTCTTCCTGGAGTCATCCACATGTCATGCCCTGAATGCCCATATTGTCCATCACATAGATAAGGAAGAATCAGATTAAGTAATAATTGTCTTTTTGTCCTATGTGCTTTTTCTCAAAGCATTATTAGATCAAATAAGAATACTGGCAAAGCAGGATTGTTCACATAAAATGCAAATAAAATATTCAACTCATCCGTACCATACTGCATTTGTGTACTTGACTTACTATGCTTGTGTGACTTCACTTGAAAACTGGCATATCTTTTTGGTGTTTCCCAACTATTTCTTATATAATACATAATTTTCAGTACCACTAGGGGGCACAGAATTATTACAATATTTCCTACTGGCTCACAAAAAGTTCATCAAGTACAGGACATTGGGTCTGCTAACTTTAACAGTTTTACTTGATTTCCCCAATTCTTAAGCCCGGATCCTGCAAATACTTATGCACATGCTTAATACTACTGCTGTAACTAGTCTCAATGAAATCAATCCAAATAACCACAGAAGTAAAATTAAGCACCTCCAAAACAGAATTTATCTCCAAGGACAAACAGTGATGCAATGGGATCTATGTGGTGGACATTGGGTGCAATCCACAAAGGTACTGAAGCACCATTGTTAGGGACCACTGCTATCAGCAATATACCCATTTGGCTGCTGTCTAACCCTGTAGGCATCTAAATTTACTCAGTGCCTAACTTACTGTCTCTGGACGTATATGCTGCAGCCATAGGTGCTGACTCCATGGATGCTCCAGGGCTGGAGTACCCACAGAAAAAAAATGGTGGGTGCTCAGCAGCCACCACCAGATCTCCCCCCATCAGCACCTCCCCCTCCCCCAGCGCCTCCCACACAGTGATGATCAGCTGTTCAGCGATGTGCAGAAGGTGCTGGGGGGGGGAAGGAGTGAGAGCAGGGTGCTCTTGGGGAAGAGGGTGGGGCAGGGTGGGGTGGGACAATGGGAAATGGGTGGAGTGGGGGCAGGGCCTGGGGGGGAGTACTCCCCAGCACATTAGAAAATCAGTACCTGTGGCTGCAGCCTCACTGTAGGCATCTAGACACTTATTCCCTGCCTAAGGGTTAGTCTACACTAAAAGTGCTACATTGGCACAAATGACCAGATGCTGTAGCATGAAGACACTGAAGACACTCTACTTTCTCCTGTTGGCATAATAAATCCACCTCCACCAGAGGCAGCTATGTTGGCAGGAGAAGTTGTCCACACCAGCACTTAGGTCAGTGTAACTTACATTGCTCGGGGGGTGGTTTATTCAGACCCCTGAGTGACATAAGTTATATTGAAGTATACAAGGACCTGGCCTAACCCCCTGAGCGATTCACAAACTGGGGAAGATAGGTGCTAAGATGCTTAAGTCATGTGGGAGGCTTGATTTGGTAGGTGTGCTCAGAGGCCATCTATCGAATTGGGCACCATACTCAAGTTCCCAAAACAACTGAGGGGAGGGGGCAGGGAGAAGAAGACCACCTCTCTTTATAACCATTAGCCTAGTACTCACCCAGGCTGTAGGAGCCGCCCTGTTCAAGTCCCCCCTTCTCCTGAGCGGGAGAAGAGATTTGAACAGGAAGCTGCTACCTCTCAGATGAAGTGAGCTGTAGCTCACGAAAGCTCATGCTCAAATAAATTGGTTAGTCTCTAAGGTGCCACAAGTACTCCTTTTCTTCTAGGCTACAGAGTCAATCTAACTTCTTCCCTGGCGCAACTAATACTCAATTATTTAAATTAGAACAATGTCAATAGGAGAGATTGAGGGAGCCCTACATCAGAACATTCCATAGCACAGTGGTTAGGGCACCCACCTGACTGGTGACAGATCCCTGCTCAAATCCCTTGTCCCCTCCCTCAGGAGGAGAAGTAGGACTTGAACCATAGGTCTCCCATGTCCTAGTGAGTCTCCTAGCCACTGGCTAACCTTTACAAGAGAGGTATAATTTTTCCCTTGGCTATCTTGGTTCAGGTCATGCAATTTGGGTTTTAGGCCACCTACCTTCCCCATTTTGTGCTCACAAGCACCAATAGGCCCCTCCCTGCAACCTGAATTTAGGGTCCAAACTCTGTGAGGGGGTGAGGCTTAGCACACAATCCTCTCAGTGGCAACTCACATGGGCTATCTTAGACTGAGATTCACAAAGCCAACATGCTAGGTAGGGAAGCAGTTTAAGGCACCTATCTTTCCCCATTCCTTATATAGGAGCCTAGCTGTCTAATTTAGGCTTTGTGGATTGCAGTGTTGTTCCTGTAATTTTCTAGGACGTTCAGAGTCACAACACCTAATTCCCTTTGTGGATCCCACCCCCTGTTCCTGCAGAGATGTGACTGTACACTGAGGCTTTCTAGAATTTAGGGACCAACCCTGCCAACACTTTACTAATGTGAGTCAAAGAGACTTATGTATGAAGTTATGCGTAAGCGTTTACAGGATCAGGTCTTTAGTAACTTAACACTTATTTTACATACCCATTGCTAAAAGGCACAAAGGGGATGAAAGAGGAAAATGAAATATTGACTTAAACACTTGCATCAATGCAAAGGGGGAGTGCAAATAATTAGTAAATGCAGAACTTACTGAGCTCAATTTACAATTCAAATAGAGAGGAGTGAAATGAACTTGCAATTAATAAGTTACAGAAACTTTTTAACATTTGTTTTCATTTCTCTCGTGTGTGTGTGTGTTGTATTTCAGTGTATACTGTTCCCGCTCCCCTCTCAAGATCTGTGTTTCCACTATGTCTCACTTGTGTTTTTTAAAGTTCCTGTTTGCTTACAAGAGGAAATCTAGTGAAGAAATGAAGCAGATCAAGTTCTCTGATTAAAGAGCTTTGGAGACATTTTGTAACACTAAATAAAATATTTGTTAGTTGCCTGTTCTTAACTTTAACCTTAAATTTCTCATAATTTATTTTAGCATCCATTTTGCTGTAATCTTCTAAACAGTTAAAAAAACAACAACCCCAAACGCTCAAACTTTAAACTGGCCTCCTAGATCTTACATTTTGATTTTCTTTGAAATATTTGATCAACTGAAAACAACCGTATTCTTGAAATATCAGTATCTGTGTTTCCGAGTTTCCTGGTTGTAATAGACAGCAGAAGTTTTTCCATTATCTCAGTATGAATTAGTTTTTCATATTAATTACTAAACTACACTTATTGCAAAACACCACAACACCTAGTGGACAAGTAATCAAGCCCCACCTGCTTTATAATTAATGTGATGGTGCAGAGCATAAATGCTCTGTCTAGCTTCCTGTTATTTTATCCTGCACATGTGAAATGATTTGTTTAATATGCTGCATCTTCTTTAGAAAAGTAAGGTAACATCCAAGGAAGCTGGTCATAACTAATACCTTTTAACAGAAGGTTTGCTTAAGGAAAGACTGCAGGAGCAATCCCTCAATGATCTTTTAATTGCTTTGACATTAGTTAATTGTTCTCACATGCACATAGGCTTTAACAGTATGGGGAACAAGTCAGTAAGGGCCTAATTTTAGAGTTCCCAAACTAGTCTGAAAATTAGCCCTAAACAATTAGACTCCAGAGAGACTGCTTTCAGGAGACGCTTGATTAAACATTTCTTAATTTAGGAGCGAGACTTACACGGGAATGCATGAACTTATTTTTGTTAGCATTTTTCTTAATACAGAGTTAACAGAACAGTCCCACAAGCAGAAAATCAACACAACTATCGCAATTAATAGTCAGTGACATGAACAAAGTGCCAATCAAAGCACTAAAAGAAGGTTATGGAGGTCAAGGATTTGAACAGGTTTGAGACTTAACTAAACGCTAAAGGGGTGGAAGCACTGTAAGCCAGAGGCGGCTCCAGTTAGACTGGAAGTAGGCAGAAAGCCCTGTGCCCATTCTTAAGGCACGTGTCACGGTGCCCTTTTGGGAACTATTTATTTTCAAAACAGCCTGCGTGTGTGGAGGGCGGGCGGTGGACAGTTGACTTTAGGAAATGGATACGCTGATGAGTTTTAGCTGCAGTATGCAAAGCAGCAGCAGGCTCGGGTTAAGAGGAAATGAGTAATGTCTTCTGGTTTACTACAGCAATACATGTGCTGCTGGAGAGAGAGAGAGAGAGAGAGAGAGGCCAAGCAGTGCCCTGGGGCTCTTGCAAATCCACGCTGATCTAGCGTGTAGCCAGGATGACCAGCCCTGACCCCTCTCGGCGTGCGGATTCCCCACTTCTCTCGCCCTGGGCGAGTTGTGGCGGCCGGGGTCAGGTGACCGCCCGCCCGGAGCGACTCTCCTCGCCGGCCGGTGTGTTCAAGAGGGTGGGTGGCGGTGGAGTGCTGGGGGGAGTCACGTGGGGCTCCTGCCGAGCGCACGTTGCTTCAGCCCTTCCCCAGAGCGCGCGTGTGTATGTCTGGGCGAGAGACGCTCCCGCAAGAGACAGCTCAGGAGGGAGCCGCGGGCGCTGCCGCCGAGAGCACAGCTAATAAATAATAATTAGATAAATCCCGCTTGCGCAGCCGCCTGCCTCGGTGTGAGTGGCGCGCCTCAGAGGAGAGGGACGCGGGGTAGCTGCGGGTGTGGTTCTCTGCACACTCACCTTGATACGCTGGGAGAGGCAAGGAGCCAAACGCCCACCCTCAGCAAGGGGGAGCTTTGTTTTCTTCCGTTCCGCTCGGACACCAAGCGCCGCCCAGCAATATCTTCGCCTGCTGACTGACCATCCTTTCCTTCGCGGGGGCGAATCCCTGGCACTTGCTGGGAGTTTGCCAGCACGAGCGAGAAGGACTTTCTTTCCCTTTGGGCTTGGATTGAATCTCTTCCCTATTTGTTCATGCCCAGCGCCCCGATCAACGAGGACCCGCCAGGGCCGTTTATTAGGATCTGCAACGTGGGGGATTATTTGAGACTTCAGACCTGATACACATTTCTGTTTGTGTAGCTGTTTACTGTAGACATCGTGCCACGCTATACGATTGGGCGGAGGAGGGAAATCTGAAAAGCTGTTGGGTACCGACGAAGGGAGGCTGCTCCAGCTGACAGCTCTCTCCTCCATAGTCTCACAGGAGCTGCCGCTAGTGAGACTTCAACCGTTTTATTACTTTCGCGGATTTAAATGGACATTTCCCGACAGTGTGTATAATCTCCAGGAGCTGCGTGTAATCAGCCGTTTGCTGTTTTCATCACCACTGTCATTGCCCGGGCATGGTGTTGTTTCCCATTGAAAAGTGGTCACACTTTGGAGCATTTTTTTCAAGGGATGTACAATTACTTGCTGACTTTCTCATGCATTTGAAATTAGAGCAACAGCTTGGTAGGTCGACTGAGGTGCCCGTCAGAGCAAAATGTACTGGCCAAGCCAAGGACAGGCGCCTTCTACGTTAATTTCCCCCCTAAAGCTGCCCTGGCTTTATATTTTTTCCTCACTTCCCTACATCCTAATAAACTAAGGGAGCTTCTACCAAGAGATGCATTTCCCCTTCACGGCTTGATCCCCTGTTGGCCGGCTCGCTCGCTGAGAGACCATATTATTTCAAAGTTGTTGTGGTTTTTTTTTAAAGAAGGCTGAAGGGGCCGAGGAAGCCACTCCTGCCTTTCACGGGAAGGTGCGGGCACCACCAGGCTTGGGGAGCTGCTCAGGAGTCCCACCCTTTGTCTGGGGGACCCCAGGGGCGAGTCGGGGTGTTTGGGGAGCGCTGGGCTCCTTTCCTGCCAGAAGCTCAGGAGAAAGGACCCTGCTCGATCAAAGTGGCCCACACGGCTCCCCCTTGCCCGCCCCGCTTTGTTTCCCTCCTCCGGGGGAATCGTTTGGACACTGTGCCCCTCTCTCCCTTCTGCCTTCTCCCCTGCTCCGCAGGCCGCTTCCCTCCCGCCCCTGGGGAAGCTGATCGCACGGCGGCTGCCCGGGCCCTGTTCCGGTGCTGCTCTTGCCCCGCTCTCAGCGCCCGTGGTGATGCCATGCCCCGCAAGCACAGCGGAGGAGACGAGGGCAGCTCCGCCGGGCTCTGGCTGAAGAGCAGCCGCGCGGGCAGCGGCATGAAGGATGTGGAGTCCGGCCGCAGCAGGGTGCTCCTGAACTCGGCCCCCAGAGGGGACGGCTTGCTCCTGCTGGGCACCGGCAGCGCCATCGGCCGCGGCGGCTCGCGGGAGAACCGGCGAGGAAAGCCAGGGGGAGCCCGGATGAGTCTGCTGGGGAAGCCGCTGTCGTACAACAGCAGCCAGAGCTGCCGGAGGAACGTCAAGTACCGGAGGCTGCAAAACTATCTGTACAACGTGCTGGAGAGACCCCGCAGCTGGGCGTTCATCTACCACGCGTTCGTGTGAGTACTGCCCTCCCCCGCCGGCCCGCACCTGTCCCCGCCAGCCCGGCGCCTGCTCGCCCAGGCAGCGGGTGTGGGGCGAGGCGCGCAGCAGCGAGGAGGCATGAGCGGTGGCACGGCCCCGCCCCGGCTCCTTGAGCATCTTCCAGGAGCGCGGAGGGAAGCGCACGGCTGTGGCTCGCCTGCAGCGCTTCTCCAGGGGTGGGAGGCAAAGCGGGGGAAAGTCCAGGTTGGAGAGTGGGGCTTGTCGGCCGGTGACAGCCCCCAGTGGAGGGCGGGAGAGAGGGAGTGGCGCTCCCCAAAAACCCGCCAAAAAGTGACTCAGAAACGTCAGCGTTTGGGGTGGTCTGTGCACGCTGCAACCGCCCCCCCCCCCCCAGCTCGCCACTCCGTTTAAACGCGGTGACAGCAACCGGCAAAGGGAGCCACTGCCATGGGAGACGGGGAGCTCTGCTGTGCCGGGGGAAGCGCGTAGCCCTCGGGGAAAGGCCCGCGCGTTGGCGGTCATTTCTGCAAGGGACTGTGCTGGGGCAGGGCTGCCCGGGCCAGCCGCATGGCTCTTTGTCACTCGGACGGTTGCCCCCGGCAGCCAGCAGGCAAAGGCTGATCTGGGCTCGCTCTTGGCGCTATGGGAAGGTGGGAAAAGAGAGGCAGCCTAGACCTGACCATGAAGCGGAAAATGCCCAACGAGGAATTGATTGGAAGCAAATGTGGACTTTCCCCTTCGGGCCTTTAAATCCTTCCCCTGCTGAAAGGGTTTTAATACTGTTTTCCCACCGCGTCCGTTCACTCGCTCGTGTAGCCAGGCTCTTACTACAGTTTCGTCCCGTTGGTTATTTTTAGACACTTTTATAAGTGCTTCTTCCCAGAAACTAAACAAAAAGCAGAGCTAAGGGAGGGAAAGAGGGCAGAGTGTTGGTGCACAGCTTTTCGACCGTTTTCGATCTGTTCTGAAATGTAAGTTTGCAGGTGTCTGTTCATGTTAGAGGTAGGAAGCACCGAGCATCTGCTTGCAGATGCGGTTGTATCTGTTGCTTGGGAATTGGAATTCTTGGCTGCAATAACTTGAAAAGGACAGTGGGGCGATTGTAAAAGGCCAGGATGCAGAGATGGTTCATGAGCTACGCATGAACTAGGTTCTAGTCAGTTCTCTTTAATATTACCCCTGCACTTAAATATCCAAGTTTTTGCTTCTTACAAACAAGGACTGATGTAGTTTAAGATGTTTACTCCATTTAATTATTATTGCCCATTTTCTCATTTGCATCCTGCAGTGCGTTGTTTCCATCATTATGAATTCATTAGGTATTATAAATAATCGCTTTGATCATTATGAACTCATTTAGTATTCATGCAAATTGCATATGTATTTCCAGTTGAGTTCCATAGCAGCAGTAGTTAATGGACATAGTGTTACTGTTATATTTTTATTGAAATATTCAATGTTTAGGATTAATTCCAAACTAATTCCTTTTAGTAATGATCATGATAAATTACTCTGAGACTTCCAAGAAGTTCCTTACTATTTCTCATATAGTTGGGCATTATTTAGGAAGCACTTAGTAAATTGTTATCTTGTTATGTAGTCTTAATTTATGTTGTCTCTTGAATGTTAATGTCATTTCAACTTGTACTAGTAAGTTACTCTTCTCTTTTGGATGTGTGCGCAGTGTACATGGGTTTAGTAGAGGATGTGACTAAAATGTTTCTTGTGATTCTAGATGTTATCCTCCAAAGAGAATTCAGGTGTATCTTGAATTGGCTCCTTAAGACAGGGTGTTGCTTATGTGATGTAGGCTTTAAAACCCTACCTTAAGCAACCCCTTTAAAGTATCCCCAGGGTTTCCAAAACAAATTAGTTCAATATTAGTCCTCTTTTATTATTATGTATTCTGCCTGCATCCAAATACATTTCCCTACACCAAAGATCATTCAGTCTAAAGACAGAGTTTGTGAAGAAGTCGTTGCAATACACCATAGTCCTAACCCCAGAAAGCTGCAGTAAACCAGATGAACTATGACTGATGTTAAGACTAGTCAAAGAAATGTTTTTTCTTAAAATATTGTGCTTTACATTTGAAAAAGTACAGAAAATTTATCTTTGATATTATAAATTGTGTGTGAGCGTGGGTCACTATCTTTAATCATAGAAAACTAACATACTGCACAGGATAGAGCAAATGCAAGGTTACTATTCTTTGAATGGTAGTTCCAGGAATTTCATTGAAAAGATGATTACGTATAGTGAGCAAATGTCAGTTGTAACACTTTCAGTAATAAAGCAACTATTTGTTAAAAGCTGTCTTTGGTAACCTATGATCAAGTAATGCTTTGTATCACACCAGCATGGGAATCCCCAAATCCTTCTTTAATAACAGTTTTTATAGCCATTTAGAGTATCTTGCCAAGAATCACTGCACTGTGATTAATGAGGTACTTCAGGGATAGATTTACTTAGTAGACCAAAATTGCTGTTGACAAAAAACAACAGAAACAGGTCTGAAGTGACATTTCATTTAGTGAAAGATTGCTGTCAACTAAGTAGAACTACTTATTCCCCTCTAAATGGTTCATTATGAAAATGGACTGTGGTAGACTGAACCTTTGTTATTTTTGTTCACTTATTGTGTACACTTTGCTATTTGTGTTTTTAATAGGAATCTCTTACCCTAGGACATATTCTGGCATAGACAGTACTTTACCAATACTCTGAAAATCACTTGTTAGGACACTTCTTATTGCAGTCATCATGTAAATACCAAGAAATCCTCCTTTGAGACTCTTCTGTTTAATTTGGTAGCATAATGATAATTATTAAAAAAAATCCAAGATTAAAATAAAGTTCACAATATTAAACCTATAAAAAAATGAATTTCCAAACTGAGTGAAGTCATGACACAGCAACACTGTAAACAAGGAATATTGCCAGATGCCTTTAGATAATTGCCTGCATAGAATGAGTGCCAATTTTAGTTTTTAATTACAAATGGCAATTCTGGCAACTGGAAATGCCAACAAAGTAAATTTTTATCTGATCAAAGCTGTGTGAAGCATTTTGGAAACACTATTGTACTATAGTAGTGTATAGTACACCTAGTAGTACCACTAGTTCAAGGATTTGTCAGTGTTTCTATTTTCACTCCCATTTTAATGAGCTTTTTAACTTGGCCATTTGAAGCTCCATTGGGTGAAAATTTGGCAAAGAGCTCATTACTTTGGATGCATTTTTTCTGTATAAATTATTTTTATCTATTGAGATTAAAAGAATATATACAATTTAAAGAATATATACAATTTTCAGTGTTTCAGATGCATCTTTTGCAACCATCTGATTGAACATAACTTCATCTTGGCAAATTTTCTACACAGATATTGTAATGTTAAAAATGACAAATCTTTTGAAAAAAATGTGTAACAATCAAGTTATTTACTTGTTGAGATGCCATTTCTGAGCTTTGTTAATGCATATCTACATTACCACAGAGTCTATTATTGCTGTTATAGTTAGGGGCTATAAATTGTTAAACCTTATTTTCATGAGAATATAACACTGGATGTAAATATCACTCTGATCTGCATGATGACATAATCACAAATTTTATTTCCTCCCCCAAATTTTCGGTTTTCTTAATTTTTAGAATTCGAAGTTTGGTTGGTTGGGGTGGGGAGTTGCAGTATTTATAAGTGGCATTATCTAATCAGCAACCAGTCCTGGAGTGGAACTTTCGTGGAGTTTTTCCATGCAGAAGGACTTTAGATCTGGGTTTAATCTGTAATATTGTCCAATTTATTCAAAATGGAAAAACTTTTGCCATTGTAAATAAAGGAGTAAGGGGAGCTAGCCATTGAGGAACAGGTATAGTAAGTTAAAGTTTAGAAATCAATGAGTTTGGTTATTTGTGTTTCATTCCTAGAGTTTTGTAATTTTACACAGAAAGGGTACCATCCTGTGACCTCTGGATTTAGTGTTTGTTATTGGGCAGAGACAGTCACTTAAATAGGATTATAGTGGGTAGTAAGGGTTTGCCAGATCAGACCCACAAATTACATGTTCCTTTACTTACATATTACCTGTGTGCATTTTATTGGTACTTCATGACATAGAAGTTCTAGGTAAAATCTGTATTGTAAGTCTGGGCCATTCGAAAGGCAATTTTCCCTAATCTTCAACTCTTAATGGTTTAGGAATAGTTCAGATATGAACACGGATAAAATCAGAATGTCCAATACCAATTGTGAGTAACGAGGCTGGCCTCGTAAACTCATGCTGGTAAAATCTTCATATCACACCACCTAGTCATTTGTGTTCGTGCTAATATTTAACATGCAAATACATTAACAATACTAACTTTTCTAAAAGTGTTTTCTCAGAGAGCCCCTAAAATGCTGATTCTTTTTTTTGTATCCGTTTGTGTAGAAATACAGTGAACTGTTGTTTGCGTGGTACACTACTGTAAGTGCTTCCAACATTAAAGCTGAATATTGCTCAAACCTGTCTTCATAACATATTATCTGCTTGTTTTTGTTAAGGCGACTATTGAGTACTGATTTAATGATTATCAGCGACAATAAATATAATCCAACACATGAAGTTTCTGTGGGGGAGATTTTTCAAAAGCTCCTAACTGCCATTGAAAGTAAATGAGTGCCTAAATGTAATTTGTGCCTTTTGAGAACATTTCCTATATCTATTTTTATATATGGGTTACATATCTGAATGTCTTTACCAGAAATATTTGGAAATCTCTCCATAATCTCTCTATGAATTTCAGAAGTGTAAGAGTGTGTGTGTGTGTGTGTTTGTGTTTAGTTGTCTTTCTGATGAGCAGCTGGAGTGGGGCGGGGGAAGCTTTGCCCTTTGATATAATTATGGGTATGATACAATTATTTGTGTATAGTTTTTAATTTGTTAACATTGTTTAATCTGTTGAGATGCAAATATTCCATTTCTTATTAACTTGCTTGTGATATGGCAGTAGGGTTGCCAGGTGTCCATTTTT